TTCCAGGTGTATTATTTTCTTCTAATTTCGAGCTGTTTTTCTTTTTTCTTGGTATTCATTCATTCAATTTTTATTTCACATTCTTATTTTCTTGCAGTTCGTTTTTTTTTCAGTTTTTTTTTTGACCAAATTGACACACTGTAAGTTTTATTAATCACCTTCGTTCGTCTTCATCGTTCTCCTCACTATCGAATTTTAATGCGTTTTTCATCCTCCGCAAACTGTTTTGGTGATTTTTTTTTGGTATACATTCCTGGTCCTGGTTGACCACATAACGGTCAGTGGCTTTAGGTATGGTTAAGTTTACTTCGATCCAATGGAAAATGCAATTATGTAATGTATCGCGGTAAAAACCAACTAAAAGATGGCTCAGAACGGAGGACTCTGTATTGCGTGAGAAGTGGAAAGCAGAGGTTTGACATTTTTTTTTAAACCAAAGGATCTAGCGTAACTGTGTGGGGTTTTTGAGTGTATTCCAATAATATCACTAATATCGCCTTCGTACTCTGTTTAGTCAGGCATTTTTGGTTATTTTGGTAAAGTTTTAGATTTCATAGTGAAAGTGCGAAAAAGAAATCGCGAGAATCGTGTAAGATGAATGCATGGTGCACTTCCTATGTTCATGTCTATAAGCGAACCAATGGGTGAGTATTTTAACAGCCAAGGAGTTCGCCATTAATTCCTGTGAGAAGTGGAAGCACTTGAAAGTTTTTTTAGCCCGAACGTTAATGCCTGCCAACAGCGACCGTTTGCTGGTAAAAATGTTGATAGTACTCTCTTTCGAACTGTGCCACATATTTAGCTCAATTTCTCCTTCTTGGATGTTCAGCTCATAGGCGAATCCAGGACGTAATTCTGAGGAGAAATGGGGATGGAGAGGAGGGGGGGAGGGGAAGGGACGGAGGGGAAGCGACAGGTGATGGGGAGGAGATTCCCCTCCCACCCTGGAACTATGTAAAAACTAGGAATAAAGTTATAACATTGCTAATTAGAGTTACTTTAGGCTTTAATTTACTTTAGTTTTAGCTTTAGATCCGGACTTTTGTAGCACTGGTGCCTGTGCTGCAAGGGGGTCGTCGCCGTTCTGGATTCGTCCATCGTTCAGTCAGTCGAATTTCTCCACTGATTGATTCAATCGGTAGTTTTTTGCAGTGTCTATGAGGTCAATGCGCAGCTTTCTCACTTCGGACATGATTCAGACATGGAGCAATTCATAAAAGCAGAAAGTGCCGAACACGGAGTCGAGTCACCAGTAATATTCGAAAAATCAGTGAAACGCGAATCCGAGAGTGCTGAGTTTGGGGAAATTAGTGGTGCTGTTTTTGAAGATGAGTCCGGAAATCCTGTCTATGAAGAAGTTTTTGAAGAGGATGTT